GTCTTGGTGGAGAATGTGCCAGTCCAGCCACACAGGTTGAGGACAGTGATTGACTTCTGGAGCTCCTTTCTGAGGTCTGCAAATGCCTCCTCAACAGAATGAAGTTGATCTTGAGACTGCCTCACGTCCTGTGGAACATCCTTGCTGTGTTCTAACTAGGAAGGGGAACTCTCCAGTTCACATGGTAACTTGTGCCAACTCCTCCCTCAAGTGGCGGTGCTTGGGATCAGGAGTGGCAGGGTGCTGAGCCGAGGGACTCACTCTTGCTTCCAGACACACATGATGTGGTTCTGTACCTGCTGTGGATGAGGAAAAGCACTCCAGGTTTGCAAGTCTCCCATCGCAAACTTCAGAAAGAGGAGCTCGGACTGGTCTGTTCTGGAGCAGTAGGCTGTTTACAGTGAAGAAAGCAGATAAACACACACGTGCATTCCTCATGTACGGTTAAATCTAAAGCATAGGGCTTATATAAGGCCTTGGGTTATTAAAAATCCTTCCACATGTTCCATCCTGTCCTGAATTAATCTGTCTGTGGGAGCTTTGCTTCTGGGTCACATCTGTAGACGAATCAAGAGAATTGTCCTAAATGTCATTCAGTTGTACTGCAGCTGCTTTAAAAGAAAAAGAAACCCAAAGAAGGGCAAACCTCAACCGAATCCGCACAAAATCCTCGCTTTATCCTCTTGATTTTTCTGAATTAACTCTCAATTCTGCTCAAGAAATCCTAATCATGTATCCCAGATAATGCCTATTACTGTCTGGCTTTTCATAAAAACGGCGTAAGCGTTTAAGGAAAAAGGAGTGAGAGCCCCCGTTGACACCGGCGGGTTAGCTTTCCCCCAGGTCTGTCTCCCCAGCCTTGGAGGGTGTCCCCGAGGCACTGGCACGGAAGTTACACAGTCTGGGAAGACAGAAGGGAGTCGGCCAGGCCCTTTAAGGCACTGATTTATACCAGCCAGCGACTGGTAACGCTTCCGAGGTCAGCGCATCCTGTGGGAGAAAGGGAGCGATGAAACGCTTGAGCCTCCTGGGCCCCGGCGCTGCTGAGGGCGGGATGGGTGCGCAGTGTCGAGGATTTGCAGTGCCGAGGAGTGCCCACGTTCCCCCTGTCGTCGTCCCTCCGGTTCCTTACCCTCTGCAAAGCGGTTCATCCTGCACGTTGCCCTCAGTGCATGCCCAGACCGTACCTGTGGTTTGCGAGAAGCCTGTCGCCAGTGAAAGTGCTCGGTAAGGCATGTGGTTTTACTTTTACATGGGAATAACTAGGATAGCTAATGCCTGACCCCTGTGTGGTGACGTTGCCTGCCCATCCCCTGCTGAGGATCTAGCGTTCCATCATACCGAGCTGAGCTGTTTGCCAGGCCCAGGCAGCTGCAGGTCCACAGAGGAGCTGTGGTGGCACTTTGTACTGCTTGTCATTTCCATCGTGGTCAGGTCATCCGTGGGGTCCCGCTAAAGACCAGCTTTGATTTTCCATAGGAGAAGGAAGGGAAAAGTTGAGAGCGGTGGACTGGGGCAGAGGAGAAGCAGAGGGTAGAGGAATACATATGGAGGATGTCTTGAATTCTGCCATGGCCTAGTACCCGATTTTGGCTATGGGTGGCTATAGGTGGCTCCCTCCTCCCTCCCTGGGCTGCTGAGTCACCGCTCACAGGCCCTTGGCGTGCCCCGCTGTACGGTATACCCTTCGGGGGGGTCCAGGCCATCCGAGTGTGGCCCCAGTTGGTGCTTTTTGTAGTTTATGACTGAAAAGAAGTTTGTACAATCGCCAGAGCTCACAAGCCCGTGGAAGCATAGTGTGGTTTTGGAGCCTGTTATTATATGCTTCGTGTTGACCCTGGCGCAGCAGCCTGGCTGCTCTTCCAGGGGTGTGTGAAGAGAAGAGCTGTTACGGGTGGTGTGTGTCCCTGTTCTCCTTCCTACCTTCGAATCCCAGGCATAGTCTGGTTTGTTGTGATGTGCTGCGAAAGGAAATAATCCCATTTCAACTTGTGGAAGGGTGGAGCTGAGCAGAGAGGAGGGGGTGGTACAGAGGTTCAGGAGATTGTGGGTTTTACCCCTACTTACTTTGTTGTTCTTGTTAGTAGCCTGTTAGGTGCTTGTTAGTAGCTTATGTTACAGTGAGAATATTCCCACACACACTTCCAGGGGAGTGAGTGTACAATTTCAGCGTGTCCAGGCAGCAGGCTGCCTCTCCATCCTCCGCACAGGGCGGTGGCAGTGACCACAGTGACCGACTGCACTGCTGGGAGCGTCGGCTGGAACAGGGCAGGTCGCGCTGCCGGTGGGCCCCGTCCTCGCATGCTGCACGGCACCCACGCTCTGCACGGCTCACTGCTGGGTCTCTCTGCCTCCTGGGCCGTAGAGCTCCGATTGGTTTTAATGGTCTGAGCTGCATTTCAAAACAAACCTCAGCTCTCCTAGTGAGTATGATTTTGGAGAGGATCCTGGAGTCTTGGACAGTCGGTCACCACTTGCAGAGCAGAACTGGCTTTGGGTCTGTCGGGGTGTGTGTGGCCTCTGAGCATTTTCACAAATGTAATGCTTGACTACTTTTTATTTCGTTCTGAATGAAGGCTTCATGGTGATCCTGAAGTGGATAGTGAACAGCTTGATGGCTTTTAACCCTTCCCCTGCAGAACTCTGTGCGTCATTTCTCTTTGAGAAACGGGTTTCTGCACTGGATGCAGGTAGCACCTTCCAGTACCTGAAGGGGCCTACAAGAAAGTTGGAGGAGGACTTTTTACAAGGGAAGATAGTGACAGGACAAGGGGTAATGGGTTTAAATTGAAAGAGGGGAGATTTAGATTAGATATCAGGAAAAAATTCTTCCTGGAGAGGCACTGGAACAGGTTGCCCAGAGAAGCTGTGGATGCCCCATCCCTGGAAGTGTTCAAGGCCAGGCTGGATGTGGCTTTGAGCAACCTGGTCTAGTGGAAGGTGTCCCTGCCCATGGCAGGGGGGTTGGAACAGATGATCTTTAAGGTCCCTTCCAACCCAAACCAGTCTGTGATCCAAGCAATTTAAAGGCGTTTTATGAAGAAAAGTTCCTTTTGACGTGTTCTGCAGGATTCCTTTGCTCATACACAAATGTATTCCAAAATCCATGGCCTGAGAAAATGAGATTTAGAACCCACCCCTGCCAAAATACGTTACAAAATCCTTACGTTCCCAGTGCTGCCCTGTAGTACAGCCTCTACCGGTGTACAGGTCTCCAGGAATGGGTCCACCAAGTCTGGCAAAAGACTCTCATACTCAACTCAGGCTCCACTGGCCTCTTTGCACAAAGGTTGTGGATATGGGAATTGTTGCCGCAGTGAGGGATGGAAGTGTTCTTGCCCGTGAGCTGCAGAGCTTGCTGCAGTGCCCGTTTGGTGCTTTTGCCAAGGATCTGCTCCTGCTGCCTCTCCTCCTGCTGCAGCTGCTGCCAGTGACCCGCAGAGTTTGTGTTGCCTCCTGTGCCTGCCAACCTGCTGTTGGGGTTTTCTGGTATGTGTGGAGATCCCTCCTCCTTCCAGGGAAGCGAGGAGTTGCTGTGTTCTGTGTCTCTGTGGAGAGCACACCCCCCATATCCTGGGAGAGTCCGGGCCTCTTGTGCTTCCCAGAGAGCAGAGCGGGTGGGCCTGCTGGGAGTTGGAAACCGTTGGATTGTAGCCCTGAACCCTTTGTGTGTTGGGAAGTAAGTGATAAATGGCATCTACTGGGGCTGAAATGTGTTTTCCCTCTGCTCTGTAAGCAGGGCACTGCATCCATTCGGCTCTTTCGGCATCGGTGTGAGCAGGGGCTGGCCCTGCTCCCACCCGGGGTCAGGCCTGCACCCTGACGTGTCTCAGGGCCGGGCTGGTTCCAAACTCCTGTTCCACTGATTCCAAACTCCTGTTTGGGAGTCCTTGAGGAGAACTGTTACGTGGGAGGGAGAAGGAGGACGGATTAAAAATTTTTTTTCTTCATGTTATGGTGGGACTGTACAGGAAACTTGATAATTGAACAAGGAATTGGCACAGAAGGGGCTCCCAGCGCTGCACTGTTAAAATGCTCAATTACTGTTTGTTAAGAGCAAGAAAGTAATTGAATCTTTCTTAATGATTTCACAGACCTCTGTTATACGCCACAGAATGCTTTGGGGTTCCTCTCTGCCCCTCTCTCTTGTTTTTACGTTCTTGGTGCCACACCCATCTTAAGTTCTTCTTCTGCACTTAATTTTTTCCCTCTTTCCCCGTGAAGCAAATCTCTCCCACACATACTCAGCAGTCCCGGCACGACCAGGATGGACCGTGCTGTTCTTTCTGTGAGGAGGGCATCGGTTGGTGGTTTACACTTGCAGTTTCTCTAACTGGATCCCACTGCTCAACAACTAGGATGCCTACAGTTCTTTTCCTAGCAAACCCTGTCAGTGTCTTTGGATGCCTGTGCTCATTTTTTTGTTTCAAGTTGTGTAGCCGAAGCTATGATGACAGTCTTGGAAAGTGAACTCGTGTAAGAATAAGCTGAGCTGAATTGGTTTGTAAGATACTAAAGTTACTGTGGATTTCAGCTTGTTTGTACAAAATAGAAATGGAGGCTTCAGAGAGCACTGGAAATGTAGTAAAATTAACATAAGAGAAACACTGTTAGGTGAAAATGGACAATCAGTGCAGAGCAGTCGCACAAATGGAGAAGGGATTGGAATTCAGCTGGGCTGGTATACTGGTGTTTGCTTCCTTTCTTGTTTGGTTCCAGTTTGGGTTCAGACTTGAGTGTCTTGTTCTTAATTGCACCCCCATGGTACGTTTGGGGGATGCCAGGGAAAGGAGGAGCTCCCAGCAAAACGGTTCCATTAGGGGAACGGCCAGCTGGGTTTGGTAACCTCTGCTGAAATGTCAGACAACTGCCTCTCCTGCAGAGACCCCCTCATCTGTTTTCCAGCCCTTCTGAGTTTCCAGGTGTTCCATTCCTTCCTGTAGGGGGGAGGTGGTGCCGAAGCCGTCACTCATGTGTTGTGTCCTTTTCCTTTGTAGGGGACAGTCTTTACTTTGGAGTCTGAAGAGGAAGAGTACCCTGGGCTCATCGCAGAGGACAGCAACGACATCTACATCCTGACCAGTGACAACTCGGGACAGGTGAGCCCGCCGGAGTCCCCCACGGTGACCACGTCGTGGCAGTCGGAGAGCCTGCCCGTCTCCCTGTCAGCCAGCCAGAGCTGGCACACGGAGAGCCTGCCAGTCTCCCTGGGACCCGAGTCCTGGCAGCAAGTGGCCATGGATCCTGAGGAAGTCAAAAGCCTGGACAGCAACGGAGGGGGCGAAGAAAGGAGCGAGAACAACTCTTCCAACTCTGATATTGTTCACGTGGAGAAGGAAGAGATAACGGAAGGGATTGAGGAGGCGGTGGTGTCGGCCGTCGCTGCAGAGACCGTGCAGGCAGCATTTCCAGAAACCCCTGCTTCTTTACAGGAAGCAAAACCTCAAGCTGAAATCGCTGCCGCCGAGAAAGCGCATCCCTCCGCGCTGCTGCGCGCGAAACAGGAGGAAAAGGGAAAAGTGGCCGAAGAGCTTGTTGAACCTGAAATCCCCGTGTTAAGTAAACCTGTCCCCAAGTTAGCCCCGTCGGAAGAAAAGGCTGCAGAACCTGAGAAAATACTGCTGCCAGGGGAACAAAAAGTGGGGAAAGAGGGCCACTTGGAAGAGATAGAAGAGAAATCCTCCGCTGCAGAGGAGAAGCCTATCTTATTGCCGGAAGGGAAATCTATACTGCTGTACGGTGGGGCTGCCGCAGTGGCTATATTAGCTGTAGCAGTCGGAGTAGCGCTGGCGCTTAGGAAAAAGTAACGGAGCTCTCTTGAGGAATAGGGGGGAGAGGGAAGAGAGCACAGTCCCATTTTTGTAGTTGTGTTACCTAAAGGTTGAGCTGCGTGCTGTTTAATTGGACATTGGAGTAACTTACTGGTGACGGGGTGAGGTTGTTCAATAAGCCTCCAGCTATGGACAATCATGTTTTTAGTAGAATTGGGGCGGGGACTGGTTTTTCGGGATTAAAGTACAGGGGTATTTTTAAAAAAAAAAAAAAAAAAAACACAAAAATTCTGCAAATTTAAGAACTTTAAGTGCAGGTGCTGAAGAAAGGGGCGCGTGTACTCTAGGAACTGGAACGGAGAATCCCCGGGGGAAGGGGAGAGCCAGCTGCTGCCACCCCCTGGAGATCTCGCCTTCTCTGACCAACCGCTGTCACAGCTGTGCTGTCCTGTCACTTCCGTCGCGCCCTCCCCAGCAAGCGTTAGCCACCCCGAGTCCTGTAGCGAGCGGCTGGTCTCCCTTCTGTCTCGGCTTCCTCTCAGGTACAGCACTGCTCCTGGTACCACGCAGGCTCCTCCTAAGCCCCCGTGGGAGAGTGCTTCCTTTCACCTCTTCGCCCACACCAGTTTTGGCCCCTGACGTTTCCCGGAGCCCCATCCTGTGAAGACGCTGCCTGTCTGTAGCCGTGTTATCTCTGAGCATCCCGGTGTTCCTGGGGAGAGGTGCATCCCGGTGTTCCTGGGGACATCTGGGCTGGAGGGACGCTGCTCTTTGCTGGTTTGAGAATCTATCGGTTCCTCTCCCGCCCGGCCCACTTCACTGCAGCCCTTGAGTAGCCCAGGGTTCCGCATTCGTGCTGGATGCAGTGCCGCTCGTACCAGGGCCCCAGTACCGGGGCGTATTCCGCAAAGAGGTGGCAAAACCACACGGAATCGTGGCCGACGCCTCCCGTGCCACTCAAAGGCTGAACGCCAGCCACCTTGTCCTGCGTCCCGCTGCAGCCTGTCATCTTTCCCAGGTTAAGCACAGCGTGTCTAGTCCCTGCTCGCTCGCGGCTGTGACGGAATCCCAGAGACTGAGCAATGGATTCTCCTAGCTGAGCAGAACAGCATTAAGCGCCTCCTCTCCCTGCCTGTTCCCGACCGTGGCGTTGTTTCTTTTGCGACCCTCGATCTGTAATTAGCTAAATGCAGGGGGTCACAAACGATGACGAGAGTTGCGCTGGGCAGAAGTCGCTCCCTCTGCCTGCAGTCACGCCGCTTCGGAGGGAGGGAAACCTCTTCAGTATGGCCGCAGCCGTTCGTTACGGCGGATCGCGGGTGTTCCTCTTCCATGCGCGTTTCTGTGTCCATCCCGGTCTGTAGGTTGGGCAGGACCTCGGCCTCTCCCGGCAAAACTGCCGGCTCCTCCTGAGGGCTCCCGCTGGTGCGGTGGCCTAGACCAGAGGAAGGGGGTGCAAGGGAACGCGGGCTAATGTAAAGATGGAAGTGTGAGCTTACGGGACGCTTACTCTTCATGAAGCACAACGACAAGGTACTTGATTTCTAAATGCCCTTGTCCAGAGTACGTCTCCTCGTGAGCCTGCTCCTTAAGTGATGTGGGAATGAAGAGACTTTAGCACATTCTCGATTTTACAATACTCCTCCTCCATTTTCCTATCCCACCCATATCCCAGGATGCTGGGAAGTCAGTAAGAACCTGGCAGATTTCTGAGAAAGTTTTTTGATTAAGCTTTTTTGAGAGTGGATTTTTTTAGAAAAGTTCTTGGAGTTTGAACTCTGTGTGCGTGTGTGTGAAAAGCTGAAAACCGAGAGGAAGGATTGTCTTGTACGTACTTGCTGCTTGGGAGCTCTGGGTGCTGGCCATGGATGCCCTTTGCCGTGTACGCAGGGCGGCAGGTTGGCCTTCACCGTGTTGCAGAGCAGAATTGATTGTTTTGCCACCTCCCGCTGCCCTGCTGCCACCCCCACCTGCTGTGCCGGGTCACCGGCACCTCCGCACGCCACGAGCTCTCTGGTGTCTGCCTTCCTGCCGCCGCAGTCCCCTCTCCTGGCACCCCCTCCGGGAGACAGGAATGGTGTCGTTATGCTCCTTTTGTCACGGGTGTGCATGAATGTTCACGGTTTTGTGTCGTTTTGCGGGTGGCAGCAGTGTTTGTCAGGAGGTGACACGGTCTGTGAGGGTACCTGGCGGTTCCCGTGTGCCGAGGGCTCTGCCACCCCGTAAGTTGGGGTCGGTCTACCCCATTCCGGCTGGTTTCCTTGCCGGGAATGTTCTCTGTGGGAAAAGGACTATCTATCCTTAACCCAACCCGTGCCCTCTCCTTACTGAAGGGGATGCACCCACCTTTTGGGCCATCCCCTGCCTGTAGCACACCGTGGGTTGCACGGAAGCACCCACATGCACTCACAAGCAGAGGTGGATTTTTTGGGACACTCTGGATAACTTGAGTATAAACTGGATGCGTGTGTCCTACACAGTTGTTCTGGCAGTAGTGTGGACGGTGGGCACAGGACAGGCAATAAACTCACGCCGACTAGGGCAGAAGTCCCTGGTTTGTTGGCACAAGGAGCCCAGTGTCGTTGCCTGTTGGTATGAGGAGCCCAGTGTCGTTTTCCATGTGCAGCAGCGAGAAGGCGGCAGCAGGAGTAAGGAAAACTACCTTGTGTTGTTCAGGATTTTCATGGTGGGGCAAAAGCCCCGAGTGCCTGGCGTGTCGCGTCATTTAACGGAGCATCAGCTGTACCGCGTCTTTCAGTTGCTTGGTCCCTTCTTGATACGCATCCCGTTTTAGGGGCTTACAGGTTTGTACCCCCTTCCCCCTCGCCCCACCGACAACGCACTCCGAGTACGTAGCATCCGTGTCTCCTCTTTAGCTAACGGAGCGTTGCCGAAGGTCGGTTATGGGCTTGACTTCCACTGCGCTGGAGCGCTGCGGTCGGAGCTGGGACAGGCTCCGTGAAGTCACCCGGGGCGGGTACGCTTGGCCGGCGGGGTGCCAGGCCTTGCTCCGTTAGAGGCGGTTTATCCCCCTCTATTAAAAGCGGTCCTCAACTGCAGGGTCCGACCGCGGGATGCGACCGCTCATCAGCGGGTCTCCTGCAGCCGGCGGAGGAAGGGCAGTAGGTACTTCAGACGGGGCATATAGAATTCTGCTCTCACCTGTGTTGCTCATCCCCTTCCCAAAAGTGCCTCAATATCTGTCCTGAGTGGCCTGTACCTAACCAAGTATCTACCTTAGACCCATTCTTTCTTCACGTTATCCCTGCCCGCAGCACACCCTAAAGCTGAGACACTACAACAG